GTAGACAATGTTGTTTTTTCACTTTAAAATAGATTTGAACAATTCGAATCATACAAAAATATTTTTGATTTTTTATTTAGTGGTAAAAAAGTGAGATCATTAGATGATGAAAATTTGAAAAAAATATCGCTTTAATCTTAAATGTTCCTTAAAGCATAATAATCAATCCGATATTAATGATATAGATTTATTTTTTGAATTAAAAGTGTGAAGGAAAATAGTCCAATTAAGCGGTAACAATTTAATTGGTATGTTCAAAAAATAAAATAAAAATTGATTCTTTTCCAGATGCATAAATTGCTTATTGAATAATGTTAATAACTTTTGTTATCGTTGCTTCAACGGAAAGAAGTTTTTCAAAATTTGATAAAATGAATCAACAATGCATCAGAAAAGATAAATGGATTAGCTATATTGTCAATTGAGAAAGACTTATTAGGAGAAATTAATTATAAGAATTTATTACAATAATTTTGCATCTAAAAAAATTAAGGCCCCTCATAAAGTTTGACTTTAGGTCATAAAATGGGCGATGTGCACAAATAGCCATTAAGAGCACATGTCTTTACTTTAAAGCCACTGTTTTAAATGTCTTTAGTCTTTAGCCACTGGTTTAATAAACTTTTACCTGACTGGACGAAAATACCCGTCTGCTATAACTTATACCTACGCTTTTATTAACGATCAGCAGCAGCAGCAGACTGTGATCATCAAATTTCAAACTATAGAATTGCAGAAGCTTCTCTTACGATTTGAAACTATAGAATTCAACTTTCTCGTCCAAAAATCAACATAAATTTATAGTAAGTTATGCTTTTGTGTGTTTCTATTGATTTTTATTTCGTTACTAGGAATTTGATTTTTTTTTAAATTTCTGGATTGATAAGGTTAAGGACATCGCATCTTGTGATAATTCTATAAAAATTGAGCACATAATGTTAAGGATTTGGTGTCCTTAACATGACCGTTGTTACTAATATTAAGGACATAGTGTCCTCATTTTGCAAATTGAATTGAAAAAGTTAAGGACAAGCGGTCCTTAACATCAAGTTTCAAGTTCAAAAGTTAAGGACACTTGGTCCTTAACTTTGAATTCCAAGTTCAAAAGTTAAGGATACTTGGTCCTGAACTTTTATTTCCAAGTTCAAAAGTTAAGGACAATTGATCCTTTACTTACAGTTCCAAGTTCATAACTTAAGGACACTTGGTCCTGAAGTTAAGGACACTTGGTCCTTAACTTTGAATTCCAAGTTCAAAAGTTAAGGACAATTGATCCTTTACTTACAGTTCCAAGTTCATAACTTAAGGACACTTGGTCCTGAACTTTAAGTTCCAAGTTCATAAGTTAAGGACACTTGGTCATGAACTTTGAGTTCAAAGTTAAAAAGTTAAGGACACTTGGTCCTGAAGTTAAGGACACTTGGTCCTGAAGTTAAGGACACTTGGTCCTTAACTTTGAATTGCAAGATCAAAAGTTAAGTCCTGGTCCTTAACTTGGTCTTGAACTTACAGTACTTGTTCTTAATTATACAAGGATTGCTCTATAAAATATGTTCTGAGTTTTCCATTCTCTTGACTTGCAGGATGTAAACAATTCTCTCTTATACGCAATAATATTCTCTCTTCTTGTCTGCATCGTGGCCTGTTTACAAGACCTACTACTTTTCTCTATTTGTTTCTTTGAAACTGGTATGTCTTGATTTAAGCTTTAGCACCATAAAAATGTGTTTATTTACGCTTTTGTATCCATGTCTACTTACTGTTTCTGTATAGTTCAACACTTGAATTAGTATGTTGATTTCTTTCTGCCAGTTTCTATTATGAATCCCAAACCCCTGCCCCCTATGTGTTTGAGCTACGGTTTAAGGCATGACAATATTCAGATTATTGTCCATGAATTAAATTTTATCCCTTGGGATCCTAGCCCCTAAATAGTGTGTTCTAACAGGCTTATATGTGTGCTAGCATTCTCCATTGATGGGTATGCCCACAACCTGCCCTTGCCTCTTTACACTCTCCCCATTCCTCTGAACCCCTATGTGTACTTATTTGTAACTGTTTCCCTTCCCCTTTTCCCCTCTCAGAATTTTTTCCTGCACTTGCACTGTCTCTTAGTCTTTAAGTACTTCCCCCCTCTTGTGAGCCTTGCTTTGGGACCTTGAGTTCCCTCTGAACTTGGACACTTGAGGGCTGGCCTTTCCACACTGCACTTATCTTAATCTGGTAATACGTTTGGGTGTGAGCACTGTGTTCATTTGAGACTCTTAGGGAACTCTGACACACTCAAATGGGAGAAAGGATTTGGATCATGAATCTCTTGGAGTTGGTTTACCTCATATTTCAGACATGAAGTCTGAATCAGGCTCTCATTGGTTGTACTTTTATTTTCTAATATATTCTTTTACTTTATTCTGGGCTGAAATAATTTTGTAATAAATATTTGGGGCAGATTAGTGAAAAGGGCTGGTAATTATGCAAAAAAGGGTAGATACCATGTCTATAGGAATTCTAAATTCTGCATTCTCACATAGATACCATGTCTCTAGGAATTCTGAATTCTACATATTCAAATGCATATAGAAGCATGTCTATAGGGAGTTTTGAATGTCTATTTTCATATAGAAATCATGATCATAGGTTAGATACTCTCGTCTAGAAATCAAGCCTATAAGTCAATCTGAATTCTGCATATGCATATAGGAAATTTGCCTATAGGTCTTTCTGAATCCTGTATATCCATTTTTCTCATATAGAAATCGTGTTCATAGGTCTTAAAAAAATTTCTGCACCTAGATACCATGCTCATAGGACTTAAACATTCAATTGCACTTAGGTATGATGTGTTAAACAGAATTCAGCATCTAGATATCATGTTCATAGGTTTAAGATGAGTTTTCTGCATTTTTATACTACATCTACAAGGTTTTAAAATCAGTAACGCCTAGAAAGCATGCCTATAGAAGTTTCTAATTGAATCTGATTTGCCTCATTTAATGTTAGATATAAAAATTAGTAACAATAGATACAGTCAGTTGCAAAACTTATAATCAATTTGTTTGAATTCTGCCTTTCTTTTAATAATCTGAGTCTCTCACGTAGCCAGTTTAACGAATACGCATATATGGTTTCAACTAATTCATTTCAAGTTTTACTGGTCTTTTGAATCATGCCTATAGGACCTTTATCCAAACACTTAGGCAAGTCTTAGGGTGATAATTGTAATTGAATCTCTTCTATTAACTACAACCAGCAGACAGGCCTGATTCGGGCTTCTTATCTGAAATATGTAATAAATCAGTCTGCCTCAACCTCTAAGTTCTTTCACATTCAGTATTTAATTAGACCCTAAACAGTACGTGCAAGACATGCTAAATTGTGTGCTTCTTTGACTAAAGGAGGTATATCTGAGCCCTTTTGCATGTTATGTGCTTTCCCCCAATTTGTTATATATGTTCTTGCATGTCGCCTTAAAATTTTGCCTTTGACACTACAAATAAGCCGATATCCCTTCCCTTTAGGATTAATAGTCCTAAATGCCTCCGGGAGTGACATGATTGGGGCGGGTAATAGCATGCAATGAGTAAACAAGACCATTTCGTGCTTTAATAGCTTAACAGGGTGGGAAGGGTAGATATATATATGATGACCACACGATAATGCCACATGTAACCCCTCATTGAAGAGTGATTACCGGGCATTGTGTGGGGTGATCCATATTAGTAATAAACCTAGGACCCCCTTTCCTTTATTTCTTATCTCTTTTAAAGAATTTCAAACTCTTTTTTTTTTAAAAAAAAAGAAGCTTTCTTTTAGTTCTTTCCAACTTTATTTGTTTGCAAACCCTTATGTGAAAATCCCCTCTTATTTGAAGCTTTGTTTGTTTACGTGTTATTTGCACCTAAGTTCACACTAATAGTCTGGCCGGGAACCACACTAGTGGATCTTGAGGGGTGCCTAACACCTTCCCCTTGAGATAATTTCAAGCCCTTACCCTATCTTTGGTTACTCAAATCAAACTCTCTTGGTGTCCTAATGCACCCTAATCATTAGGTGGCGACTCTTCAAATTCAAACCCAATTCCCAAAAGGGAATGAGTTGTCCTCCCAAATGTCATAAACCCTATTTCGCTCGGGAAATAGAGGGCGCGACATTGCTTTTAATGGTATATGGACTGAAGACTATAAGTATCTTGATCATCAAACAAAGCTTGTTCTAGTACCTGAGGCAATTCGGTTTGAAGATTTCATTAAGCAGATCTTTGAAGTTATTGAATTGGATAGAGACAAGTTTGAAGCAGTGATATGGTTTGATATCAACCTTGGAAGAAGCAAGGGAATGCTTGTATCCAAAGATTCAGATCTTCACACATGTATAGAGTTACTAAAAAGTCATTCACTCTTCAAGGGTTATCGTTTCATTGTTGATATTTCGGAAAGAGTTTTTGGATCAACAAGCACCTTTGAACATGTCAACAGAGAAACTCAACATGACAATCAAAACAAATGCCAACAGATAATGGAAATAGATATGGTTGAAGCTCAACCAATAACTGAAGAGGTGCTTCAAATATTTGATTCTATTCAAGTAGAAGGACAAAACATTATAGAGATTGACACCGAACAAGCTTTGGGTATTCAAGTCTTAGACAGTGCACCGGTAATCGAAGAAGTTGCTAAAAAACCTCTACTCAACTAACTAGACGAAGGTCAAATTTGAAACAAAAAGAATTCTCAACTACGATATTAAGAGAAAATGCTTCATTGGATGAAATAAAAGTGGGATCAATATTTGACAAAAAGAAGAGTATAATTAACTATTTTTCGAATATAGCAATTAATGGACATTTAGAATTAAATGTTGTTAGATCAAGCTCAACAAGATATTCATTGAAATGCAATAATGATAGGTGTGGGTGGTGTGTGCGTGCCTTCAGAATTAAAGATTCAACATTGTTCAAGATAGTAAAGATTGAGAAAAATCATGACTGCTTTGTTAATACTATGAAAGCTAATCAAAGGCATGCAACTTCAAAGTTGATTAGTGGTTACATTATCGACAATCTTCGAGACCCAAAGTTTGAAGTTACACTAGCTTTTGTCATGGCAGAAATGCAAAAATTGCATGGACTAGACATTGGGTATCACAAGACGTGGTGTGCTGTTCAATGTGCTTCCGCTTTAATAAGAGGAACTCCTGAAGAGAATTATGAATTATTGTCTTCATACTTGTATATGATGAGAAGTAAAAATCCGGGAACATATACTAATATAAAGATAGACGAGAACAACAGGTAAACAATCAAAAAAGAATTTATTAGTCTGTTTTATAAACTTTAGGATATGCTGTCTTTAACCAGTTAAAAATTTAAGGACATGTTGTCCTTAACTTTTATGTGTGCAGTCAAAAAGTTAAGGACACTTGGTCCTTAACTTAGAATTGCAAGTTATAAAATTAAGGACATGGTGACCTTAACTTTTGACCTTATTAGTTAAGGACTCCATGTCCTTAACTTTTGAACTTTGAACTCAAAGTTAAAGACTGCATGTCTTTAACTTTATAACTTGTAACTCTAAGTTAAGGATTGCATGTCCTTAACTTTATAACTTATAACTCTAAGTTAAGGACTGTCTGTCCTTAACTTTTGACCTTATTAGTCTAACTTCAGGACTACTTGTCCTTAACTTTTGGCTTTGTAACCTGAAGTTCAGGACTACCTGTCCTTAACTTTTGACCTTTTTATTCTAAGTTAATTACTGCCTATCCTTAACTTCTGTTAACCTTGTTTTATACTGTATTTTCAGGTTTCTTTATATGTTTTATGCATATGGATCATCAATATCTGGTTGGAATCATTGTAGACCAGTGATTGCTATTGATGCAACTTTTTTGAAGTCAAAATTTCGTGGTGTTTTAATGATTTCAGTTTCAAAAGATACAAATAACCAAATTTTTCCTCTAGCCTTTGGAATAGCAGAATCTGAAAATAAGAATTCCTATGAGTGGTACTTTAGTGAGCTTCGCAATGCAATTGGGAGCCGTGAGAATTTAATTTTTTTTATCAGACAGCCATCAATCTATTGCATATGCCATTGCAAAGGTATATCCTGAAAGCCACCATGGGATTTGTATCTATCATTTGGAGCAGAACCTAAAGCGAAGGAAAGTGAAAAGTGAGGTCATAAAACTTTTTCAAAGTGCTGCAAGAGTATACAGGCGCAAAGAATTTAATCTTTACATGTCAGATATAGCAAAAGTAGATAAGAAGACTTATGACTACTTGATGGAAGAACCACCGAAAAGGTGGGCACGTTCTTGTAGTCCACGACGAAGATATGACATGCTCACAACAAAAATAGTTGAGTCTATGAATTCTGTCCTATTAGAAGCAAGGGAGCTGCCTATATTAAGAATGATGGATTTCATTCAAGTGAAGCTACAACGCTGGTTTTATGAAAGAAGAAATGAAGTAGAAGGAACTTTTTATGATGTTTCTTGTTGGCTAGAGGAGGAATTGAAGAAAAAGATAGATTTAGCATTTACTTCGAATGTAAGTATTATGTTCTATGTTTAGGTTATTATTTTAATATAATTTAACATAATGTACTAACTTATAATTTTTCAACATTGAAAGTCTTCCCTGTTGATTCATGGTGTTCCAGAGTTGAAGAAGAAGGAATAACTTTCTTGGTGGACTTAAACAAAAGAACATGTGATTGTTTTCAGTTTCAGTTTGATGAATTACCATGCATACATGCAATTGTAGTTATCGAGAAGAGAAACATCAAGAAGTCCAACTTTTGATCGCACTGGTACTTAAAAGAATCTTGGCTGAAAACATATAAAAGACAAATACATCCTATAGGACATACTGATTCTTGGATTGTATCAGAGAGTGTTAAGTCACAAATTGTTAAACCTCCAGATTTCAAAGTGTCACCAGGTAGAAGGTAGAAGAAAAGGCATATTCCAGCTATCAAGTCATCAAAAATAACATTCAAATATGGTCGTTGTAGAAGAATTGGTCATAATAGAATAGCTTGCATATATTCTCCGGCAGTCCATCCATTTTCAAGAAAGCATAGAGAATAGTAGATATATCCACTTATGTTTGTCGACTCTTTTACGTTTTTGCTATAAATTGGATTCATTTAGATTATTCTTATTTGAGCAGATGTCTCAATTTTCAAAATTTCTTTCTGCTTATGATCTTTTTGTTTCTTTTGAGTTCAAAGTTCAAAAGTTAAGGACATGCAGTCCTTAAGTTTGACTTACAAGTTCAAAAGTTAAGGACAGACAACCTTAAGTTTGAGTTCAAAGTTCAAAAGTTAAGGACAAACAGTCCTTAACTTTGAGTTCAAATTTCAAAAGTTAAGGACAGGCAGTCCCTAACTTTGACTTACAAGTTCAAAAGTTAAGGACAGACAGTCCTTAACTTTGAGTTCAAAGTTCAAAAGTTAAGGACAGACAGTCCTTAACTTTGAGTTCAAAGTTCAAAAGTTAAGGACATGCAATCCTTAACTTTGACTTACAAGTTCAAAAGTTAAGGACGGGCAGTTCTTAACTTTGAGTTCAAAGTTCAAAAGTTAAGGACAGGCAATCCTTAACTTTGACTTACAAGTTCAAAAGTTAAGGACAGGCAATCCTTAACTTTGACTTACAAGTTGAAAAGTTAAGGACACTTGTTACTTAACTTACAGTTCCAAGTACAAAAAATAAGGACACTTGGTTCTAAAGTTTGAGTTCCAAGTTCAAAAGTTAAGGACACGTGGTCCTGAACTTGGACTTTCAAGTTTAAAAGTTAAGGACACTTGGTCCTGAAGTTTGAATTTCAAGTTCAAAAGTTAAGGACACGTGGTCCTGAACTTGGACTTTCAAGTTTAAAAGTTAAGGACACTTGGTCCTGAAGTTTGAATTTCAAGTTCAAAAGTTAAGGACACTTGGTCCTGAAGTTTCAGTTTCAAGTTCAAAAGTTAAGGACACATGCTCCTGAACTTTGACTTACAAGTTCAAAAGTTAAGGACACTTTAACTTTGAATTTGAAGTTCAATTACACTTGGTCCTGAACTAATGCTTACAAGCTCAATGGACAAATCAATACTTGATAGAAACAAAGAAATTAATAACATGATGCCTTCATATTACTTATGAAATTGTTATTTTGCATAGCTGTGACAAAAAATTATGCTATGCAAATAAAATAAAAGTGTCTTTTGAGGAATTTACAAGATATTTCAGAATTCATATGGATTCTTTACAGCAATTTTATACAAAAAATCAACTACAACTAACTTTCTTTACAATTAAACTATAGTTCCTTCGGACAACAAGTTTCATTTTCACTATCATAGTCGTCGCCAACATTTTTTGGTGGTGTATCATAACCGGAATTTCTTTTCCACTCTCTATGTGCCCAAAGATTTGCTGCAAGTTCTTTTCTAAAGTCTTTTATATCTTCAGGTTGGAATTTCTCCACATCATTTCCCATCATCAACAACTCCACATACTTGATTAGGAATGCACCACAATCAGTCCTAAGAAAAATATAAGATATGGAGTCAATTAAACAATAAATCTAAAGTACATATAAATTATATAACAAATAACAACACGTACGATCCAGTTTGGTGTGGTGATCTTTGCCACTGAATATCAAATTAGTTGAATGTATTTCCAAAAGACTTGTGATGTTTGTCAAACTGTAAGAACTTTAGCAAGTGGGGGATCATGCGTGCATACATTTCAATGTGATTCATTCCTGCCTCATATGGATCATTATATATGGAATCGTACACATCAATCTTTTTCTCATTCAAGTCCAATACCCCCAAAAGAAAATGTGTCACAACATCATTATCTTCTAAAGGAAGCCGACATGGAAAAAAGATTTTGTCTACCTCAGTCCAAGCAATTCCACATCTACGACTGTCACCCCATACATATGGTGTCAGAAACAATTGATTATCACTACACCAAAACTCATCTAAAGCATCTTCATTGAAATCCTTATACACAAGCACCATATAGTTATCAAAAAGTATATCTGTAGTTGTGCAACGAAAAGGATGGTCGCGAAGGTGGTAGCATTCCTTCTTTCTCATATAATATAGGGCAATGTCAATATGATTCATAAAAAGGCAAAAAATAAAATAAATCCATAAGTCATAAAATAATTAAAAAACAATAAATTAAGAATAAAGAAAATAAATGCCTTGCGAATTATCAACCTTATCATCAAGTACAAACCTACTATCTGAAAGCTCAAGGAAGAACATTTTGCTACTGATTTTTTGATGATATAATTTGTATGGATTCTTTATTATACCATTATCATCAGCATATATATCAGTTTTTCTCCTGAAAATTTTGAAAATATCAAAGTTAGAAGTTAGTCCTCATTTCCTAATTAAGGACATCTAGTCCTGAACTTAGACTTTCAAGTTGAAAAGTTAAGGATACTTGGTCCTGAAGTTTGAGTTTCAAGTTCAAAAGTTAAGGACACTTGGTCCTGAAGTTTGAGTTTCAAGTTCAAAAGTTAAGGACACTTGGTCCTGAAGTTTGAGTTTCAAGTTCAAAAGTTAAGGACACTTGGTCCTGAAGTTTGAGTTTCAAGTTCAAAAGTTAAGGACACTTGGTCCTGAAGTTTGAGTTTCAAGTTCAAAAGTTAAGGACACTTGGTCCTGAAGTTTGAGTTTCAAGTTCAAAAGTTAAGGACACTTGGTCCTGAAGTTTGAGTTTCAAGTTCAAAAGTTAAGGACACTTGGTCCTGAAGTTTGAGTTTCAAGTTCAAAAGTTAAGGACACTTGGTCCTGAAGTTTGAGTTTCAAGTTCAAAAGTTAAGGACACTTGGTCCTGAAGTTTGAGTTTCAAGTTCAAAAGTTAAGGACACTTGGTCCTGAAGTTTGAGTTTCAAGTTCAAAAGTTAAGGACACTTGGTCCTGAAGTTTGAGTTTCAAGTTCAAAAGTTAAGGACACTTGGTCCTGAAGTTTGAGTTTCAAGTTCAAAAGTTAAGGACACAAGGTCCTGAACGTAGACTTACAAGTTCAAAAGTTCAGGACACTTTGTCCTGAACTTAGACTAACAAGTATAAAAGTTAGGGACAGGCAGTCCTTAACTTATAGTTCCAACTTCAAATGTTGAGGACACTTGGTCCTGAACTTACACTTTCAAGTTCAAATATTAAGGACACTTGGTCTTGAAGTTTGAGTTTCAATTTGAAATGTTAAGGACACTTGGTCCTGAACTTCAAGTTTTAAGTTGAAAAGTTAAGGACACTTGGTCCTGAACTTCAAGTTTTAAGTTGAAAAGTTAAGGACACTTGGTCCTGAACTTCAAGTTTTAAGTTGAAAAGTTAAGGACACTTGGTCCTGAACTTAGACTTACAAGTTCAAAAGTTAAGGACACACGGTCCTGAACTTTGATTTACAAGTTCAAAAGTTCAAGACACTTGGTCCTGAACTTTGAATTCCAAGTTGAAAAGTTAAGGACACTTGGTCCTGAACTTTGATTTACAAGTTCAAAAGTTCAAGACACTTGGTCCTGAACTTTGAATTCCAAGTTGAAAAGTTAAGGACATTTGGTCCTTAACTTTGATTTTCAAATTCAAAAGTTAAGGACATTTGGTCCTAAACTTAGACTTACAATCATAGAAGTTAAGGACACGTAACTTTAGGAATTTCAATGTCAATATACTTAGTCCTAAATTTAAAATTACAAGTTAAGGATACGAATTTAAGCAATTAACAAATAATGAAATACATTTAGGGACTCACACTTTTTTGCGACCTTTCCTTTTCTCCTTGACCAACCACCCAATGAATTTCTTCAATAATTTAGCATCATCTTTGGCAAAATGAAAAATACATGTACGAGTATATTTTGATTTTATCCAGCCCGTATTATTGGGAGTATTTTCATTGTGCGCCATCGATGTTCTTGTTTTTCTTTCCCGTTCAAAAGAAGATTTCAACTACTAACTATGCTTCTTATTCTTTTTACATCGACCAAGATCTTCTTCAACATTTCTTTCTACCTCCATAGACAAACCCTCATCAATGCTCATTTGTGTACTTGTAGGAGTAGGAGTAAGAATAGAAAATGATGGACCATCATAATCAATACTATCTCTCTTCCTTTTCCTAGTATATTGGTTAAGATCTTCATCTTTGTTTTGCTCTGCAGAAAACACACACACACACACACACACACTATATATATATATATATATATATTAGTTTGTTGCAGGTCGTCAAACGAAGAGACAAAAACTAAGAACATTATTTTTGAAATGTACTGGCATTTTCAATTATGAATATAATATTTAGGATACAATCAATACCTATCTTGTTCACACTACCTTCTTGTATTATTTTCAATAGACAATTGAGCTGACATATTGGTTGCATTTTCTTTATCTTCCAACTGTACATTTTCTTTATCTTGCAACTGTTCTCCATGTTCTTCAATTGCAAGTTCACAAGATTCTACAAAATATTTACAAGAGCTAACACAATTAGTACTTGTTACTAATCTTTGATTAAAACAAACATGTATAAAATTAAAAAAAATATTGTCTAACCGTTTGCAATTGTCAAGATCATCCTAGTTAAATTGTGATGACCCGGCCAGTCGTCTCATAAGTTACTGCTCCATTTTCCCCATTTTTGCTTCTTAATTCTTTGTTTATCGGTTCTATATGTGATCTGGTTGGTTGGCTCGGGTTCGGAAAGGTTTTGGTAAGGTTTGAGATACTTAGTCTCTTTTGAGGAAGCTTAAGTTGAAAAAGTTAACCGGATGTTAACTTAGGTGTTATAGGGCTG